AGAGGTTTGAGTGAAGCAGAGATGGAGATACCACTGAGGGGGGAAAGAGAGGTGATTATAATAAACAAAAGAGGTTTGAGTACAGTGAGAAGGGAGTTTGGAAAGGCTCTGTAATGTTCACTTTTCATGTTAGCTTCTGTGCTGTACATACCTCTTCTTGTTAAAACCAATTTATTTGTTTTCTTAAAAAGCACCCCATCCCTCTCCCCCCTCTCTAGCATTCAGCATTCTGCATTCTGCCACTGCTCAAGGCAAGCAGAAGCTTCTCTCCTCTTTCTAAAGCATAAGCTATTGGTGCTATGACAGCACCAAACTTTAATTTTTAATGTCTGTGACACAACTGCTCTGTGCTAAACCTTCCCTTGGTTCCACACAAAAAAGAAAAAACAAACCACACAGAATGCTGGTGTGGTCATCAGCTGGAAGTATATGGGAACAGCTATGTCACAAAGAAAAAAAAAATAATTCAGCATATTGCCAGGACACCATAGTGCTATAGCTAAACAAAAGCGATTAAAAAATGCAGAGCATTTGTGGCATCAAAAATACGGCATTTCAGCAGAAAGCTATAGGCCACACAGAGATTTCTAATATTGCTATGTGACCACCCTGAAAGTTTTGAGGTCAGAAATAATCTTAAATTCAGGAGTGCATATGATAGCCTCAAGAACACAAATAATCCTGAATGCACATTTATTCAGGAGTAAATTCCAATGTCCTTTTTGTTTATTGAGTTTTCTGTTGTTGTTGTTAGCCAATTTCAGTTTGTTTGATAAAGAAAAGTGGGGTATAATTTTTAAAAAATAAATAAATGACATAATTCTCCAGTGTGCTGTTTTAGGACTACAGTTGTAAAGAAAAAACAGATAGAACAGAGTTCAAGAGGATGACTTCACTGCCCGTTAAATAAGAAGCTTGCCAAACTTTCCACCCTGCTTATGAACTTTTTTTTTGTCCTTCCTCTGCTGGATCCAGATATTGCCTTCCTGTTAACAAGGCCCTCTATACCCCTTAGTAATTGTTAATATTGTATCTCTCAGCCTCATTCCCTGAAGTAGCACCTTTTTTTTTAATATATCATTCCCAATACTTTGAAAATGTCAGTCTCTGTGAACTTATTGCAAAATGTCTGCAAACATTTGTGTTTCAAGGGAAGCACAAAGCAAAAGCTATGTCGTCATTATCATTATTACAGTATTATTATTATTATTATTATTATTATTATTATTCCTAATCAGCTATAAATTAACAGCTTGCTTTGCATTTCACAGAGAAAGTGTCCTTAGCATGTATACAAAACTGCTGTCTGAAAGAGGATGGAGCTGGTAGTTTCATAAAACTACATCATGGCAGAAGAAAAACAAGAGAAAGAGACAAATGTTCTAATCTTACCTTCATCATAATCTTATTAGCATTTCTCAGTGAGAAGTTCAAGTATCAAGTCTATACTCTTATGAATCTGTCTCGTAAATATGTCAAGTGCGGAGTATAGTTATTTTAATCGCCTGTGTTGGTGGGCCATCATGGATTTAATTAAGAGACAACTAGTGTATGAAATATGGCGTGAAAGCACCAGACTAAATGGAGAAATGGTTTACTGCAGCTCCAAATTGTGGGGCACAGGCTTAATGATGATCTGGTCTCGGAAATCCTACTTAAACTTAATTAATACCGACTGCAGCAGAACCTGCTCAGAGAGGAGCAAAAGATAAAGGCGGATGGGAGGGGCGGGGAGGAAATTAATGACTTTAAGCTAGAGCGTGATTTCTATAAAGATATCTGCATTAGCTCAAACAGCATTGTGTTATTTACTAAGAGAGATCGTACCTCAGTTCCTGCCCTGCTTCCAGTCTGGAATTTAAAATTCATTATGCACTACTTAAAATGTGAGCCCATTTTTGGCTGCTGTCTTGTACTATGCACTACCTTGTAATTGCACATTGATTCACTGATCTACCCTAAACAATCGCTAATGGCATAAAACAGGGATGGGGAGACTGTGGCAGCCCAGGTTTGGTTAAGACTCCAGCTCTCATCATCGCTGACCGTTGGCCATGGGAGCTGGAGTCCAGCAGCATATGCAAGGCCACTGGTTCCCCATCCTGAGTGATTAGACCCTTTCACAACCATCCCCAGCATAGTACCCTATAGGTGTTTTGGAGTACAACACGTATCAGCCTCAGCCAGTGTGAACAGTCATCAGGAATGATTGGAACTATGGCCCAGAACATCAAGAGACAGAGGTACCATCTTCTGAAGCACACTGAGGGCGGGCTGATGTGATGTCCTGGTGTCATGCATGTGACATAGCACCATGACTGGCTCCAACAATGGAGGGGCAGTCCCCTAGAAGAAGAAAAAGATTGAGGGGGCCCACAGTGCCGCGGCCCCCTGGACCCAGCACCTATGTCAGGAGAGAACCAACTAGCTTGAGGAAGGCTACCACCTTCTTCTTCTTCTTCTTCTTCTTCTTCTTCTTCTTCTTCTTCTTCTTCTTCTTCTTCTCCCCCTCCTCCTCCTCCCTAGAATTAGAATTTATATACCGCCCTATAGCTGCAGGTCTCAGAATGGTTCACACAATAAATACCTTAAAGGTAAAGGGACCCCTGACCGTTAAGTCTAGTCGCAGATGACTCTGGGGTTGCGGCGCTCATCTCGCTCTATAGGCCAAGGGAGCTGTCGTTTGTCTGCAGACAGCTTCCGGGTCACGTGGCCAGCATGCCTAAGCCGCTTCTGGCAAACCAGAGCAGCGCACGGAAACGCCGTTTACCTTCCCGCCAGAGCGGTACCTATTTATCTACTTGCACTTTGATGTGCTTTCAAACTGCTAGGTTGGCAGGAGCAGGGACCGAACAATGGGAGCTCACCCCATCATGGGGATTCGAACCGCTGACCTTCTGATCGGCAAACCCTAGGCTCTGTGGTTTAGACCACAGCGCCACCCGCGTCCCTTAATATATACCTTATTATGAGCCAAATAGTGAAGTACTTGGGATAGCAAAAAAATGAAATAAAGGGGGGGGATGAGAAAACACAGTAACACCGAAAAGACCAAAAGTGCCTCACTACAACTGCAACGTCAATCTATAGATTTCAATTCCATGTTAAGATATAGCCTGGGTTGTTCTTCTTAATATGCAATTTCCGACGGGCAATGGATCAGGTATGGAAGGTTATTGAAACAGAGTACTCTAAAAAGCACCAACAATAGATAAAGAGTTAGTGTATGGACTTCAGAAAACACCACAGAGGTTGACTGGTAGTTGGTTACTTAACCAATTTCAAGATGTTTTCGTCATGAGGACTCAGCCAGTGCTAGGACCTGGCAGCCCATGGTTGGTGTGGAGGCCTCAGCATCCCTGGGGACCACTGATGATCAGATCAGGCTCCTCCTTCCCCTGCCCATGTTTCCTATGTATGTAACTGTTGACATGTTTCATAAATATGCTATGGTTGTCTCGTGGCAATGAAAACAGGTCTTTCTACAACACTTGTGGCTTCCTACCGCCCTGGTGCAATCTTGGAGAAAACAAGATGGTGGTCTCATTCACTGTGATAAAGGCTCAGAGTCTGATGATGATGAGCAAAAAAAGGGATTTTAAAAGAGCTGCTCAGGACATGGAGAGTTCTGTTGCCAACCATCATATCTGCTGTTGTTGAATAAACATGAAAAGGTAGGAAGGGGCCCCTGAGCAGAAGGAGGGGGGCATGGCACTGTGTTGAGGGGCCCCTCAATCCTGGAGTGGCTATGATGATGAACCAACACTTTGTTGTTTAGTCGTTTAGTCGTGTCCGACTCTTCGTGACCCCATGGACCAGAGCACGCCAGGCACTTCTGTCTTCCACTGCCTCCCACACTTTGGTCAAACTCATGCTGGTAGCTTCAAGAACACTGTCCAACCATCTCGTCCTCTGTCGTCCCCTTCTCCTTGTGCCCTCCATATTTCCCAACATCAGGGTCTTTTCCAGGGAGTCTTCTCTTCTCATGAGGTGGCCAAAGTATTGGAGCCTCAGCTTCACGATCTGTCCTTCCAGTGAGCACTCAGCTGATTTCCTTAAGAATGGATAGGTTTGATCTTCTTGCAGTCCATGGGACTCTCAAGAGTCTCCTCCAGCACCATAATTCAAAAGCATCAATTCTTCGGTGATCAGCCTTCTTTATGGTCCAGCTCTCACTTCCACTTCCAACACTTAGGTAATGTATATTCAACACTTCAGAGGCTGCCATATAGTTATTTAACTACAGCAACCAACCTGCAACTTCCCAGTGCTGGCAAATATGAACTACTCCCCAGTAAGTTCATTCTGTTACATTATAAATAAAACCAATCTCTAAAACTAGGGGAGAAAGCAAGGATTAGTATATACACACACACACATACATACACACCCTTATCAAGGCTTAGAGTGTGAATAACCTCCCTTCAGATATTGCACTGCAAACTTTGGCATCTCTGCCTTGAAAATGGGTGTGTATGTGTATGTCTCTGTCGAGGTAATGTTTGGACTTCAAAGAATGATGCTGTAAACCTACCTACCAAATGGTGTTCCAATTTCTCAGTGCTCAGGGGTGATATATTACCTGGCGCATGTGTTAAATCTTCCCTGGCTTCTTCAGAAATGGGTGATGCAAGGAGGGGTCAAGCAGTTACTCAAAGATGTAGCAGAGAATGGTGTCCTCAACATACACATTCATTTCCATTCTGATATCTTAATCTCCAAGACAGATAGCAGGGAGATAGGAAGCTGCCTACCACTAGGTCAGAATATATATCCATCTCGCCAAGAATTGTGTGTTTTGACTAACAGAGGCTCTTCAGTGTCTCAGGCAGATAGCATGGAAGGGCCTTTTCTATCACCAGCCCTTTGATTCTCTTAAACTGGAGATGTCAAAGGATTTAATCTGGAGCCTTGTGCATGCCATGCATGTAGAATCATAGAATTGTAGAGTTGTAAGGGACCACAAAGGTCATGTAACCCTCTGCAATGCAGGAATCTTTTGCCCAACATGGGGCTTGAACCCACAACCCTAAGATGAGTCTCATGCTCTACTGACAGAGCTACCAAGGTGGATATACCAGTAAGCCAAGCATAACCAACATGGTGTTTTCTAGATGTTGTTGGGCTCTAACACCCGTCATCCCTGGTCATTGACCATGCTGGCTGGGGCTGATGTGGAGTACAGCAACATCTGGAGAGTACCTCCTTGGCTACCCCACACAAAGCTGTGTTTCCACTCCATCAGGGTTCCACCCGTATTGCAGGGGAAGTTTCATAGCTTAGTGGTAGAGCATGCTCACTGCATGCAGAAGATCCTAGGTTCAGTCCTCAGCATCTCCAGGGAAAGACCCCTGGAGATCTGCTGTCCATCAGAATGGATAACACTGATCTTAGATGGATCAATGAACTAACTAAGGCAGCTTCCTATCTCTCTCTAGCCCCACCCCCCAGAAAATGAGTGACAGGCTCAATCCATTGTGTTCTGAATGTGTATACCAGATTCACTTCTTGGCATCCCAGCATTCAAGGGAGAGTGACCATGTTGCAAACAAACAAATGGGATGCTAATCACACAAGTTAAATCAAAGAGCTCACTTTGCTTGACAATAATATGAGCGTAGGCTTCTAAGAATAGAGAGGCATGTGATGAAGGAAAGGAGTCGGCTCAGCTCAGGGAACTTGTATATGTTCCGCTAGTTTTAGGGAGACGAGAGCACAAATGGGAAGTGGCTGTGAATCTCCATATTGCTTTCAGAACTGCCAAAGCCCCTTGGCCCTTGTGGAGACCTCTGTGGGACTTCTTCTAAGTGCCGACTTCAGAGGCCAAACTCCTTTTGAGATTAACATGCTTCAGAAGCAGTTGAAGCACAGAGATCTTTGAATGCTGTTGCAGCTCATATGCATTTCAAACCCTCCTGAAAATAAAAGAAACCCAACGCTGCGAGGAGCCCTGATCCAGCTGCCATTCTGTTAACTGGAGACAGTCTCTGGGGTCACAGCGGAACTTCCAGAGGGATTGTGACCTCGTTGGAGGTTAAACAAGATGGGAGGAGGAAAGGAGGGAGATGCTTTATGAAGCTTACAGTCCAGCCAATCCCAGCCTGGTGCTCTTCATATACATTGAACTACAACTCCCATCAGCCCCAGCCAGTGTAACCAATGGTCAGGGATAGTGGGAGTTGTAGTTCAATGTATGTGAAGAGCCCCAGGCTGGGGAAGCAGATACATCAAAGATAGTGGAGTATTTTAGCTTTTGAAGAATTTTACCCCAGCCTCAATTTTGAGTAAAATTTAGGCTCAGCACTGCATATAATGGGTAGTATCCAATGATAGCCCTCCTCACAGTACATCAATTGAATTTAATGATTCTTTAAGTTCAATGGTTTGTATCCAAAGCAGACTTAAGTAAGCAACAGGACTTTCCCCCTCATCTCCTCACATGTGGCCCCTAAATCTATTCTGAGTTTCCCGTCAACCCTCCAGAACAGATTGGAAGAGGGCATAGAGTACCTGTGGGTAGAGGAGAGAAGGAAAGTCCCATTGTACAAGCGGAAATCCTTGCAGTGATGGGACACTTACTTAGCACTGCATTGGGCAAGGTCTTTCTGGGGCAGTATCCTTGAGCAGGTGTTCATGGGCCAGATCTAGGCTCTCTTGGATGAAACTGATTTTCTAGATCTATTTCAACTGGGGTTTAGAATGCATTTGGCACAAAAGCATTTTGGCTGCCCAAAATGATGACCTTTGATGGGAAAGAGGAAGGGATCTCTCAGTGACTTTCAATACCATTGACCATGATAATTATTATTATTATTATTAATAATAATAATAATATCATTAATACCCCGCCCATCTGGCTGGGTTTCCCCAGTCACTCTGGGCGGCTCCCAACATAATATTAAAATACAATAGTCTATTAAACATTAAAAGCTTCCCTAAACAGAGCTGCCTTCAGATGTCTTCTAAATGTCTGGTAGTTGTTTTTCTCTTTGACATCTGGTGGGTGGGCGATCCACAGGGCGGGTGCCACTACCGAGAAGGCCCTCTGCCTGGTTCCCTGTAACCTCACTTCTCGCAATGAGGGAACCGCCAGAAGGCCCTCGGCACTGGACCTCAGTGTCCGGGCAGAACAATGGGGGCGGAGACGCTCCTTCAGGTATACTGGACTGAGGCTGTTTAGGGCTTTAAAGGTCATCACCAACACTTTGAATTATGCTCGGAAATGTACTGGGAGCCAGTGTAGTTCTTTCAAGACCAGTGTTATGTGGTATCAGAGCCCGCTCCCAGTCACCAGTCTAGCTGCTGCATTCTGAATTAGTTGTAGTTTCCAGGTCACCTTCAAAGGTAGCCCCTTCTGGAGTAGCTGTCCATGTTGTGGATGGGTGGCATTGCTCTTCAGCGGTTCCAATCCTACTTGAAAGATCATTCTCAGGTGGTGTAAGCAGGATACTGTCCAGTCCTCGTGGAGTTTTCATTGTGGGCTTATGCAGAGCTCAATTTTGTTCCGCATGTTGCTTAACATCTACAATCATAGTTGCTGTAAAGTTTTGTTACACAGGATTTTAAAAAAGAAGAAAGGGGGAAAGTCTATGGGATTCCAGCAACTACAATATTTGCTTGTCTGAACTTTAGCCCTGTGGTCAAAAATATACAGCACTATAGATTCCAGATGCACTGAGAATACTATAATTTGGACTGGCAGGGCCATAATAAAATTTGTAAATTGAGGCACAAATGAAAGTGTTTGGGAGGCATAAATTCATAACTATTTTTTCCTGCAGTGAGGGAAACATCAAAGATTTGCAGCAGCTTGGAAGGGGAAATGGGAGGTGGATTTTCCCCCTCCGCCCCTTAATGAACACAGTTCAAAATATCCATAGTTATTTTCCATTACAGGTATGTTTAAAAAGCAGCCCAGGCTTCTATCCCTGCATATTTATTGCAAATCTATTTTTCTATCCTGTTTACATAATTTTTCTATAGTTTTATTGTGTCTTGGCTGTCATGCGGCAGGTGCTGAGATCAGAAATTTCTCCTGCCACCTCGATGATTAAAATGGAAAAGAGAGTCGGTGTGGTGGTATAATGGTAGAGCCTTGCCCTGGGACCTGGGAGACCCGGGTTCAAATCTTCACTTAAGCATGAAGCTTGGTAGGACCTAGGACCTTGAGCCAGTCACTATCTCTCAGCCTAACCAACCTCACAGAGTTGTTGTGAAGATAAAATGAGGAACGAGAGAACAACGTATGAGAGCTCCTTGGAAGAAAGCTATTTAAATAATAGTCCCCAAACCAAAATGCAGATAACTTGCCGGAATGATCACCCATTGACTAACAAAAGTGAACATACCTTGGTAGAAAAAAGAGCTCTGCTGCTACAGTTACCCTATTGGCATGAGCTCTAGAATGCACCTCTGTACTTATGCTTGCATGCTTAGGACAGGATCTTGCATTAGATAATTAGAGAATATAAAAACATGTCATGAATGGCCTCTGTCCTGTATACCTGAAGGAGCGTCTCCGCCCCCATCGTTCAGCGCCGAGGGCCTTCTGGCGGTTCCCTCATTGCGAGAAGTGAGGTTACAGGGAACCAGACAGAGGGCCTTCTCAGTAGTGGCGCCCACCCTGTGGAACACCCTCCCTTCAGATGTGAAGGAAATAAGCAGCTATCCTACCTTTAAAAAGACATCTGAAGGCAGCCCTGTTGAGGGAAGTTTTTAATATTTAATGCTGTACTGTTTAAACACTTGATTGGGAGCCGCCCAGAGTGGCTGGGGAAACTCAGCCAGATGGGCAGGGTATAAATAATAAATAATAAATTATTATTATTATTATTATTATTATTATTATTATTATTAGATTTAGGGGATTTAAAGCAGAGGTTGGATGGCCACCTGTCAAGGATTCTTTAGCTGTGGTTCCTGCATTGCAGGGCATTGGACTAGATGGGGTTCAATGCATTGCAGGGCATTCTACGAATGGCCGTATTGGCCCAAATATAAGCCACATTTTTTTTCCAAATCCTGATCATGAAAAGTTCAAGTGTGGCTTATATTCGCAAACTTACGCCACCAGCAAAAGAGCACGCCCCCCCCCAAAAAAAACAGCCCGGGAGCACAGCGCAATGGCGCCCAACCTGCCCACAGTTCCCTGGCCTCCCCCAAGCCGCCGTATTTTAAAGGTGTGGCTTATTTATGGGTGTGACTTATATTCAGGCCAATACGGTACCTTTCTACACATCAGTCCAATAGCTGTGAAGGACGCCTGGTATGTGCATCCAGAGCTGCCATAAATGCATGTCAGCTTCAACAGAAAGAAGAGCTCTGCAAATGTACTCGCACAGAGCTTTCCCGTCTATGGAAATGAAGTTGCAACCTTGGCATAGTAATATTTAGCCTGCATGGAGTTTGAGACAAACCTCAGCTGTGAACCTGTGAAACATTCCTCAGAAACATTTCTTTCAACACATTTGTCTATTAAGGCTTCGACAGTATGTCTTTGTCAGAAGTGTGGTCACACCTTAACTATTATTCTCACTTAAAACAGAAAGCAATTAATCAACCTACCTAAATATGAACATTAACATTTCAATTAGGTGGAAGGTGTAAAGCACTTGGCTAATTTAATTAACAAATGTCCAGATTGCTTTTTAGAAGAAATAGATGGAAATGTATTCCGTTCTGGATAGAAACATTCAATGGGTATCTGCAGAAATGCATTTCCCAAACGTTTCTACATCTTCCTAAGGCTCAGGAGCACCTGGTTTTACAGGAAATGGAAAGTGATAGCTAGGCTATCGGTATCCCCCGGTCCCTAAGTGGGAGTGCCAGCACGGCCCTTTGCTGCAGACTCCCAACATAGACGCCATTTGTCTCTTGATTGGCCACTGGCAGCTCAGCTGGTCTTCCTCCAAAGGACAGAATAGTCTCTGGGGCCTCTAGCTGCTGATCTCTAGGTTAGAATTTTGCTATTTGAGAAGTTAACTAAGATTTAGAGGACACCAAATTGTGGACCAGAAGCTATATTTAGTGTGGGGTGGCATATGTGCATATGCATAGAGTTCTAGCATCCC